TAAAATCCAACCACACTGAACATCTTAGAAGAGAAAGTGGGAAGTACCCTTGAACGAATTGGTACAGGAGACTGCTTCCTGAACATAACACCAGTAACACAGGCACTAAGATCAACAATTAATAAATGGGACCTCCTGAAACCGAGAAGCTTCTGTAAGGCAAAGGACACAGTCAACAGGACAAAATGGCAGTCCACAGAATGGGAAAAGATATTCACTAACCCCACATCTGACAGAGGGCTGATCCCCAAAATTTACAAAGAACTCAAGAAGCAAGTCTCCAAAGCACCAAAGGATCCAATTAAAAAGTATGGTAGAGAATTCTCAATAGAGGAATCTAAAATGGCTAATAGACACTTAAGAAAGTGCTCAACATCCTTAGCCATCAGGGAAATGCAAATCAAAACAACTCTGAGATGTCATCTTACTCCTGTCAGAATAGCTAAAATCAAAAACACCAATGACAGTTTATGCTGGAGAGGATGTGGAGAAAGGGGAACTCTGCTCCACTGCTGGTGGGAGTGCCAACTCATACAGCCTCTTTGGAAATCAGTATGGAGATTTTTCAGGGAAATGAAAATCAGTTTACCACAAGACCCAGCAATCTAGTCTTAGGTATATACGAAAAGATGCACATTCATACAACAAGGACATCTGTTCAACTATATTCATAGCAGCATTATTTGTAATAGCCAGTACCCGGAAGCAACCTAGATGCCCCTCAGCTGAAGAATGGATAGAGAAAATGTGGTACATTTACATAATGGAGTGCTACTCAGCGGATTAAAAAAAACAATGGAATCTTGAAATTCACAGACAAATGGACAGCACTAGAAGAAACCATCCTGAGTGAGGTAACCCAGTCACAAAAAGACAAACATGGTATGTACTCACTCATGTATGAATTTTAGACATAGAGCAAAGGACTACCAGCCTACAATCCATACCACTAGAGAAGTTAGAAAACAAGGAGGACCCTAAGAGAGACATACATGGTCCCCTAGAGAAGGGGAAAGGGATAAGATCTCCTTAGCAAATTAGGAGCATGGGGGGGAGGGGAGAGGGAGGTAGGAGAAAGAGAAGGGGAGAAGAGGAAGGGAGAGGAGGACATGAGGGAGCAGGAAGGTTGAGTCGGGGGAAGAATAGAGGAGAGCAAGATAAGAGATATGTAATAGAGGGAGGCATTACAGGTTTAAAGAGAAATCTGGCACTAGGGAAATGTCCAGAGATCTACAAGAATGATACCAAGTAACAATCTAAGCAATAGTGGAGAGGCTACCTTAAATGCCCTTCCCCAATAATGAGATTGGTGTCTACCTTATAAGCCATCCTAGAGCCTTCATCCAGTAGCTGATGGAAGCAGAAGCAGACACCCACAGCTAAACACTGAGCTGCACTTCTGGAATCCAGTTACAGAGAGGGAGGAGTGATGAGCAAAGGGGTCAAGACCAGGCTGATGAAACCCACAGAAACAGCTGACCTGAGCAAGGGGGAGCTCATGGACCCCAAACTGATAGCTGGGAAACCAGCATAAGACTGATCCAGACCCCCTGAATTTGGATGTCAGTGGGAAGACCTGGGCAATCTATGGGGCCTCTGGTAGTAGATCAGTATTTATCCATAGCATGCAAATGGACTTTGGGAGCCCATTCCACATAGAGGGATACTTTCTCAGCCTAGACACATGGGGGAGGGCCTAGGCCCTGTTCCAAATGATATGACAGACTTTGAAGATCCCCATGGAAGGCCTCACCCTCCCTTGGGAGCAGAAAGGGAATGTGATAGGGGTTTAGTGGGGGGCAGGGGAGGAGAGGAGGGAGAAGGAACTGGGATTTACATGTAAAACAAGCTTGTTTCTAATTTAAGTTAAAAATAGAAAACAATATTTTGCATATTGATACAAATTGTAGATGTTTTGTCACATTGCATTATACATTTCTACCTCTGATTAAGATATTTTATGTATTATTGCCATTTTGAGGTCACTGTCCTCATGCTGCACATCTGTTTAAAGACTGTTTGTTTTTATAATGTGAAGCTTTGGTCTTTAAGCTATATGGGTTATTAAGAATTACAGGTTAATAGTCACCCACATTTGTCATAGTTATGTTAGTTGGATTCTCTAGATGCACAGAGATGTACTCTGAATAGATAGGCAATCTTCAAACACTTCAAAGCCTACAGAATATGGCATTTAAATGTTTTAATAATTTGGAACTTGGTTGACATGAGACGTGACTGTTCCTGGCAGCACTGATATTCCAGAGAGTATGAAAGGCACTGAAGACACTCCATAGGGAGGTTGTTTTCTTCTTGGCAAAACTGCCCTGTTGGGAAAAGAATTATCCTTGCCTCAACTGCTCATATTTAGCATGTTGTTCAATCTGGACAATCTGTTCAAGATGGACAGGATACAAGGAAACGCAACTGTTGAACCTTGCCAAGACAAGGTAGGACAGTCTTTTGAATTTTCCTGCTTCTACAAATGGTCTGTTGCATATTCCAGGCCTGTAGCCAAAGTTGGTTGCCCCAAAACTGCAGAGAGACTTTGAGTGACTGTCCAGGTAGTCAGGTGTTTCTGTCATTTTTTGCATCTTTTGGAAGTCACTTGTTTGTACTTTCTCCTTACGCAAGTAATATTATTTTCCTTCTCAGGACTTTCATGGGGTTGAAGAATAGATGACTGCAGTTAATATCCTCTCTTATCTTGGCTAAGGCACATTAGGTACAAAACTTAGACTCTTCAGGATAGGATAGCAATTGGAATAATGTCTGTTATTTGCCTATTACCTATTGCCTAAACATTTAGCATGTGTTCTTGCTTCATGTTGTTCTTGTTGGTTATAGTTCCATTTTTATGTAAGTTATTACCATTTCTTTCTCCTGGACAATATTTGATAATTGTTCTTATTGTATATAGTTTTATATTAGATTTAGAACCTTCTTATTTAGACAAAAAGGGAAGTGTTGTGGGAAATACTTCTGCAAGTAGACTTGGGGTACTGGCCTTAGAGCATAGTCTCTTGTCTGCAGACATAATCTCTTAGAGAAAGTGGGGCAGTTGCTTCCTCCTTGGGAAGTCAAACAGAAGCAAACCTTGTGGATGGTCACATCTCCCAGGGCAGACAGCACGACACAGCACCTGGACCCACAGCCGACTCCACCTTGTCCTGTATTCATGAGTTTGTATTTCCCGTTGAAACCCAAGAATAAAGATTCTTGTAAATTCTCCCATCATATCATAGCAATAGGGACTAAGAGACTCTAAATGATCGTAACAGTGAAGGGGACCTCAAAACCCTAGAGTTGTCTGGACCTTACAAAGTGAATACAGGGCTTCCTTAACAAAGGAGATTGAAGGTACACAGGAGCACACGTGTTCTTGTGGGCATAGAGAGACTGTGAGTCCGGGAGGCTCAGATTCAGACTTGCCCTCACTCACAGTCATCCTCCTGGCTCACCTTTGCAGAATGCTGTCACTGCAGGAGAGCCCCACCATGCACTGGTTGTTGGAACCCAGCATTGTGCTGACCTCGCCCCCTGACAACGGGTGGGACATGCATGTAGCATTCAGGCAGACACTTAGGCAGCTCAAAGGGCCCTGTGTTACATGACCACATCATGACATTGTGGGGCTGCATAAGGACTCAGTACCCATGTGCAAACTTCCCCTTTTAAGTGAGCACCTCCCCGTGCTCTCTCTCTAAGCTCTCTCCTCTCTCTCCCTTCATCTCCCTCCCCTCTCCTCTCTCTCTTCCTTTGCTCCCTCCTCTCTCACTCTTCCTTCTCTGTCTTTCATCTCCCCTTCTCTCTTTCTCTCTGCTCCCAGTTGGCCAACACCCCCCTTCTGTTCTTCTCTTGCCCTTCAATAAACTCCACGTGGGTTTATTGACTCATAGTATATGTTTTGTTGCCCATTGCTGCAGCAAAAGAACAACACTGGTCTTGCTCAACTTTCCAAGAGAACATGGGCCGACCTGAATGAACAACACAGGGGCACTTGCAGACTCTTGGCTCCTTTCCATCTTGGTCATCCTGTTCCTTCACTGTTCTGAGACTGAAGCCAACACTCACTGTGAGTTTTCTGGTGAATTTCTTGGAATACTGCATGCTAGTCTATTATCATGTGTAAATTGAGTGTTTGTAAGTATCCATCACATAGGGAATAACTGCATGGCATGGCGGCAGGCACGTGTAATCCAAGCGATGGAGACACGGAAGCCCGACACAGGAGGAGGAAGCCATGTGAATGTGTGCTGCTGACATGGGCACCGCCATGACAGGGGCCCAGGCCTCAGACCCAAGGATCCTTGGCTAAGTCTTCCCTTACAAGGGTCAGGCCCAGAATTGGCCAAGTCTTCATCCTCTGGTCCAAGTTTGGGTGTTTATGGATGATGCAGTAGTCTTGAGAAAGCTAGCAACTGCAGCTTCCTGGGGGTTCTAGCCTGAGGTGCTGCCTTCAGACCCCCTCCAGAGAACAGCCAGCCCCTCCTCCATGCTGTCCATAATAACGTGCCGAGGGCACAGGTTGCTGTGGAAGCAGCTGAGGCTCCATCAGAGCACACGCAAGCCACCGGATGCCGGCGTTTCTGTACACGTGTCTGTGAGCCTGTCCTTCTTCATTCCCTCAATGAACCTCAGATTCCCTTTGGGTTTCAGACCTAAGCCAGATGGTGTGCTGTGGTGAAACTAGGGACTCACGTCGCGATGCGCCTGTGTGACATAGGGATGCTCTGTCTGAGACTGATTAAATGAGAACTAAAATATAAACAAGAGGCTAGCCATAGGGACAGCTGGTGAGAGCCCTGGCTTCTTTACCATGGGACCCAAATTTTATTCCCAACCCTGTGGTTAGGTAACTCACAAGTCCTATGACTCCACTTGCAGGGGCTGCAATGATCTGGACTCTACTCCAACACACATAGAATGCAGACACACATGCAGACAGATAACTAAAAGTCAAATCTTTGAAATAAAAGGAGGCAGTGGTGACCCTGAGGTGTGGAAGATCACTTTCTATTTTCACCCACGTTGGGAATCATTGATTGACACAGCAGTTCCTCCTGTCACTCTGTGTCCTCTACCTTCACACCCAGGGCAGAAAATCAGGCACCTATGGCTGTGCCTCCAATGACAAGGTTGACTGCACCCAGGAGCCCTCCTTCTCCTGAGGACCCGTGACCTGACACTTCACTCACGTGCCCCAACTACAGACACAGGCAGAGGCTTCACAGAGCTTTGGCGGGCTTCACGGACATCCAGTAGAAGATGGCGTCTGTCAGGAAGGTGGGCAGGTAGCTCATGGGGAGGTACAAGAGCTTGGCATCCCAGCCAGCTGAGTATCGAGTGCGAGGGTGACAGGAAGTCAGCGCGTGCTCCATGCAGTCTGTCACCAAGGAGAGGTCCTCACTGCACTTTTGGTCCAGTGACTTTAGCAATGTCAGATCTATGCAGAATGAGAAACACTTCAGGCGGTGTTTACCTCCACCACTCCTGCTCTAGACCAACATGGAGGAACCTTTTCTAGATCCCATGCCTCCCACGTCAGAAGCCACGCCCAAGCCTAGCCTATCCCAGGTCCTGAGGAGGGACCACAACCCATCTTCACGAAGAACCCGGCACCTCACCACCTGTGTCTTAGCTCATGGGAGGTTCTGTCTAACCCCGGTTCCCCTCAGTGACTTCACTCAGCTTCATGATGATGAGAGGTTCAGATGGAAGAGAGCACCATGTTCTGAATGTCAAGAACTCTCTCAGACCCCATACCCACCCTCCCTACCACATGGGTCTAAATGTGCTTTCTTTGATTGGAAAGATAATGGCGTTAGTACTGGCAACAGGAATGGAAACTAAGGATTCAGGACTAGGCTTGGTTTTGATCCCTGCAGCTCACTTACAAGATGTCAGGTACTTCTCGCCATACATCTCTCTGACCTCTGAGCTGGCCTGGTCCCACAGCATCTTGACAATTGGCAAATGAATGTCACCACTGCTTATACTAGTCTTGAAGTAACCAGGCTCAATAATAGCCACCTTTACCCCAAAATAGGAGAGCTCCCTCCTGCAAGACAGACAGACACGTCAAGGAATTGAGAGGACTTCCTGTGAGAAAACTCTCAGTGAGAGTAGAGTCACACACCAACATGAGCCTGTGGTGAGGAGAGGGCACGAGCTTTGGATCTGGATTGTGCAGCAGACGGGGAAGAAGCCTGTGTGCTTTTAGATGTCACACTAAGTATCTGGTGGATGGAGCTCACTGGTCTGAAGCGAGGCTTTCTGTTCTGCGACACCGTGTCAGACCTCTCTCCACACACTGCAGACGCAGAGGATCATCACCATGCTTGCTCAAGTCACCTCCTTATCACTCCCAATCTCAGTCTACCCCACGTGTGTCCCAGGAAGCTCTGAGGACGTGCCCCACTTTGTCCCTGCAGCTGTCTCAGAGAGCGAGACCCTGCCTGCCACTCCCTCCCGTTCACAGACTTCCAGGTGCCTGCAGCCGGGGATGGACCCACCCCAAATGGCTCCCCTCTGTCAACGTCTCTCAAGGGTTTAGTTGGCAACAGCATGAAATACAGACTGCCCAGCGCCCTCAGGCTCTCCACAAGTCTGCCTCAGCCCACCTGGTGACCCTCCTCTTCCATATCTGGCCTGGCCTGTCCCCCAAGGAGCATCCACCTACACAAACAGGTTCCAGCTTTCCATGTTTAACCTTTTCTCTGCAGCAGCCCAGTCCTGCTACAGGACACTGACAAACAGGTGACAAGCATGGCTGTCACAGTTGACTGGGCTATGGCCACTGCAGGGTAAGGCCACACTTCTCTTGTGTCCCCTAGATCTCCATCTCTCTGTGCTGCCATTGTCTTCAGGTCAAATTCAAACCCTCTCTCTAATGCTGGGATGTGTTGACTGTGGACTCTACAGGGGCCTGACACTTACCTGCATATTTGATTGACATGTTCATCCCAACTGAAAAACATGATTAGCACCATACAGCTCAGGGTTCTGGATTCTTGACCAAAATACTCACAGGACCAATTCTACCTCAGTAATGTTCCCCATGTCCTCCCTCCACCATGACAGGACAAGTTGAACTGAACTCAGATGTTGTTCCTGCCCTCTACTAGAGACATGGATATGCCCTTCCCAATGAATGATTCAGGGAGAAGGTGAGAGAGCACCAAAGCAGAGAGTGTCCTCTTCACAATAGGATCCTAAAGGCCTTGATTAAATAAAACCCCTGACAAAGCTTCCCTCAGGTCCACCACATCCCTGTCCAATACCTGAGGGAGTCTGAGAAAGCCTCTACACCATACTTGGAGATGCAGTAACCACCACCAAAGAAAGAGACTCGACCCATGATGCTGGAGACGTTGACCACACGGCCTCTTGCCTTCCTCACTGAGGGCAGCATGTTCAGAGTCACCTCGATCATGCCCAACAGGTTCACATCCAGGACTTTTGCAAAGTCCTGCTTGTTCAGCCACGCATTGGGAGCCGAGGGAATGGCGATGCCAGCATTGTTGACCAGGCCCCAGAGTCCTGGGGACAGTGGAAAGAAGAGAGCGTCACATAACTCAGGTATGGTTGTGGATTAAATGCATATTCAACAAGGTAAGACTGCTTAGGCATGTGTTCACTGGAGAATAGGATGCCATGAAGAACAACCTGGTTTCATCAGGGCTGGGGAACCCATTGCACAGGCTCACAGCATGGATGTCTTCCTTCTTTAATCTTCATGCCCAGCTCCCTGCCTAGGAAGTAAGAAGCAGTCATTTCTCACTTGCTAGTTTTAAGAAGAGATGTTGAAGACTGGTGTTCCTCTATTTATCTGGAGACTGTGAAACCATGATTGTGTTTTACAGATTATTCTCATTCTTGAAGATATTTTATTCTTTACCTTGTGGTGGTGGTTTCAATAGGAATTTGACCCTTAGGCTCATATGTTTGAAATGTTGGTCACTGGGGGACAGCACTACTTGAGAGGGATTAAAGATGTGGCCTTGCTTGAGGAAGTGTTTCCACTCAGTGTGGGTTTGGCGTTTCAAATGCCCAAGCCAGACCCCTGTCTCAATCTTTCTGCTACCTGGAAGGATACATGTAGAACTGATCTGGATGTAAAACTTTCAACTTCTCCTGCATCATAATTGCCTGTGTTCAGTCAGGATTCCTGTCATGCTGATAGTGGACTATACCTCTGAAAGTGTAAATCAGTCACAAACAAACCCCTTCCCTTATAAGAGTTATGGTGGTCAGTCCTGGAGCACCATGCCTTTAATCTGAGCACTCTGAAGGGAGGCAAATGGATTCTGTTAGTTCAAGTCCAGCCTGGGCTACAGAGTGAGTTCCACGACAGCCAGGATTGTTACACAAAGAAACCTTATCTCCAAAAACTGAAAAAAATTACTATGGTCTTTTATCCTTCTACAGAAACAGAATAATGACTAAGACACATTGATGCCTCTGTCTTTCAAATGGAACTGGAACAAAATAATAAGGAAGGATTAGGGAGAGAGGAAACAGATTAAAAAAAAAAGACAAAAAAATCAACTGTACCTTTGATTGGGGAGATTGTGGGAAAACAGCGCTGTTTTGGACTCTGATGAAGATGGCCTTGCAAGGTCATCAGTATTGAGCATCTCTCCAGATGCTTACAAAAACCCGGGACAGGGATAGGGAAGGTGACAGTGCTTGCTGATCACCAACAGCACCGACATTCCACCCTCAACCTCAGAAAATGGTGCCGTTTGTGGGAGCTCGCCCACAGTTTGCCCTTCCTCCCCCTTTTGTCTTTAAGCTGTGGATCCTCAAGTACGACTCTGCAGCAAGGCTTACAACTAAACATGGCATCTACACTGTCAGTTTCTGTGCTAATTTCAAATAATTGGCTCAATAAGTGGTATGCCTCCTTGTCTCAAAAGCATGTCTTGACCCTCTGGATATCCATATTCTTCCATCAAGTTTTTTTTTATCCTACTTTGTTTTGAAAGCCATGTGGAAATCTCCTGTAGAAGCTTCCTAAAATACATGTGTACATGAAAAGAATCTAAATGGGGTCACCGTAGGATGGGGAGATGATACCTGACCTAGACATCCTAAGGCACCAAGTAAAACCTCCAGTGACAGGAATGGGTTACTTCCTGGTGAGTCAATGTCCAGAAGGAGCCCAACTTCCAACCCTATCACAGGCTATTGCCAAGGCTTCTCATTGGCCTCCATATCCTGATAGCAAGGCCATATTGCTGAAGACAATACTTACTTAGTATCTCAACTGGGGAAGTTGAGCAGGTGCCTGACTAAAAGCTTTACCCCTACTGAGCAGCATTCAAGATGCCAGATGATACTCTGTACACTACCAGAGGAGAAAGTCAATCACCAACTACAAACCCTGTAACCTTCATCATTTAAGATATACTGGTGCAATACTGGGGGCTGGAGAGATGGCTCAGAGGATAAGAGCACTGACTGCTCTTCCAGAGGTCCTGAGTTCAATTCTCATGGAGGCTCACAACCATCTGTAATGAGATCTGGTGCCCTCTTCTGGTCTGCAGGGACACATGCAGACAGAACGCTGTATACACAAAGAGCAAGGGAACAAAAAAGCCAGAGGTGACAGATGTCTCCAATCAGCTGTCTTCCAGACACAACAGGACTGATGCTCACGTGAACTCACACAGGTTGTGGCAGCATTCCTAAAACCTGCACAGGTTCCAGATATGACCCAGCACCTAGATAGGAAGAGGATGCAAGGTCCAACCTCTTACCAAGCAGCTCTCTGTTAAACAGATGCCTGCTGGCAAAGGGAATAACAGTTTTATCCACTGCATTGACATTGGAGCCTCATACCCGGAAGTAGTTGGCTAACAGAAAATGAATTCCAAGTATTAATTGTTTAAGGGATTTTTTTCATGTTGATTTGTTCTATATTGTTTCTTGTTTTTGACTTGGCTTTCTGTTTATTTGTGGTTTTTATTTTGTTTTAGTGTGTGTGTGTGTGTGTAAATATGAGAGAGAGAGAGAGAGAGAGAGAGAGAGAGAGAGAGAGAGAGGAGGAGAGAGAGAGAGAGAGACCTTCCTGGTTTTGACTTTCCTAAGGCATTCCTCCAGTGTTGGATGTTGCACTTAAGCATGACAATGACCTTGGTCCCCATAAAGGATTCCAGGTGGAAGGTGACACCAGGTCCCAGCACTGAGAGAGATGCATCTGGCACATGACCAGCCAGCTTCACACCAAGCCAGGGCCCCGGCCCTCCTTCCTCATCAGGCTCTAACCTGGCACTCGGCAGCCAACAGTCCAGTCTTTCTGCATACAGAGACAGAAGAGGACACACAGGATTGTGGACATGAAATTGCACAGGGCACCAGCTGACCAAGAAGAGAGCTTGAGGGACTCAATGTAGGAGGAGGAGGAGGAAGGACTGTCATGCTGGAGAGGGAAGAGTCTGCAGCCACTTCAATTCCACCCGCACCCGTGTCAGAAATCTCCTCAGGGCTACACAGGCATTCCCTTCACACAGGCAGGCAAACCAACAGACACAGACGGGCGTCTCAGTGGTACCTCTGTTCCCAACTCGTTCCTTCACCCACTGAGTGGCTGCCACAACACTCTCTGTCTTGGTGACATCAAGGATCACTGTCCCCAGCCTGGCTGACGTCTTGCTCTTCAGCTCCTCGGCTCCCTTCTCCGTCAGACATGCAGCCAGCACCCTCATGCCTCTCCTGTCCAGCTGTCTGGCCAGCAGGTTCCCAAAGCCGGAGTCACAGCCCGTGATGAAGACATACTTGTCTTGGAGATGGCTCACCACCTGCCTCTCCCTGAACAAGCGCAGGAGGGTCCACAGGCCCACTAGAGCCACCAGGTAGAGCCACATGGCTTTGAAAAGGACGGGCACAAACAGTCTGTGCCAAAGTGAGCCTGGCCTCCCTTCACAGAGGATGGAGCAGGCACTGAGGACTCAGGAGACACAGCAGAGCGCAGGCTTCTAGCAGGGAGTCCGCACCTTGTTCTCTGTCCACTGCCTGTGTTGATATTTATTGCTGCCTCTCTGCTCTGTCACCTCTTTGGTCATCTGATACATAATGGCCTTTGGCCATCCCATACTTGCTGCCAAGAAAACACTACTGTAACCCACCTTCGTTCAAGTATGATGTTTTTTCTTCTACTCATGTGGGAATACATGCTTGTTTCCTCACTCACGCTCACTACAGTAAGTCCCAGGCTCACCTGTGTCTCTGCACCTTGCACTCTAGTGCTGCGAACCCAGGGCCTTGTGAACACAGTCAGGCGCTGGTGCCAACTGTACTTGGGCTCAGGACTCATTTACAAGGAAATCCTGCTCTGAGCTCAGGTTTCCTCCTCAGGTTCCTCAGCCAGAAACTCTCCTCAGAAAACAAAGAAGCTCTCCTTGCCTCTAGAATTTCAGGGCAGCTAAAGAGACATCAGGGCAAGCTGGTGTCTTCCTGGTACAGCAGCTCACTGGGAAGAAGAAGGGACCTGCTGTAAACAGGAAGGCTGACCCCAAAGAAAGATAAGGTGTGGCACCTGGGACCCCCAGATAACTAAGATTCAGACATGATGTTGGGGAAGAAATGACTGTTACCTCAAGACGCCCATCTCCTGGCTGATTGAATTCAAGCAGACATGAGCTTAGCCATCTTGAATTCTAACCTCCATGAATGCCCCTGACTGTGTTGAGACACGGTTTCTGGCTTAATTTCCCAGCATGCCTGTGTGTGGAGTTTTGCATCTGGTTCCTGGCTCTAGAGATGTGCACAGATGATCTCAGACTCCAGCTCAAAATAAACCATGCACGTTCCCTCAGAGAGAAAGTTGTGTTTCCCCCACCCACTTCTTCTGCCACTCTCTATCCTGGCCTGTAAGGACTGGAACTGCTCTCACTGCTCTCCAGGACCCTGCTTCTGTCTGCAAGTTCTCCAGAAAGACATCTGTGCACAACGCTTTGTTAGGCCTCATATACCAGACTCGATGGCTCATGAGGATACATTCTGGACGCCCACCGTACCCTCCATTTCTGGGGCCTCCCTGTGTGGTCATTAGGGTTTCTATTATTGCAGTAACATAAAATGACCAAAGAAAACTTGCACCTTCCAGGATGTTTACAGTCTGAGACTGCTGCCTTCAGACATACAGAGAACAGCCAACCCCTCCTCCATGCTGTCCATAATAACGTGCCGAGGGCACAGGTTGCTGTGGAAGCAGCTGAGGCTCCATCAGAGCACACGCAAGCCACCGGATGCCGGCGTTTCTGTACACGTGTCTGTGAGCCTGTCCTTCTTCATTCCCTCAATGAACCTCAGATTCCCTTTGGGTTTCAGACCTAAGCCAGATATCCTGTAGCAAAGTGAGAGATTTAGAAGGTCATGAAGTACCTGCGTAACATAATGAGATCCTGTCACAAATAAACTAAATGAGTAACTAAAAATATAAATAAAGAGTTTTGACAGGTTTGGAGAGGAGGCTCAGTGGTTAAGAGCACTGGCTGCTCTTCCAGAGGTCCTGAGTTAAATTCCCAGCAACCACATTGTGACTCACAACCATCTGTAATGAGATCTGCTGCCCTCTTCTGGCCTGCAGGCACAGCACTGTATACATAATAAATAAATAAATCTTTAAAAAAAACAGAGAGTTTAGACATAGGGACAGCTGGTGAGAGCATTTACTTGTGTGCTAGAGGACCCAAATTTTATTCCCAACCCTGTGGTTAGGTAACTCACAAGTCCTATGACTCCACTTGCAGGGGCTGCAATGATCTGGACTCTACTCCAACACACATGGAATGCAGACACACATGCAGACAGATAACTAAAAGTCAAATCTTTGAAATAAAAGGAGGCAGTGGTGACCCTGAGGTGTGGAAGATCACTTTCTATTTTCACCCACGTTGGGAATCATTGTTTGACACAGCAGTTCCTCCTGTCACTCTGTGTCCTCTACCTTCACACCCAGGGCAGAAAATCAGGCACCTATGGCTGTGCCTCCAATGACAAGGTTGACTGCACCCAGGAGCCCTCCTTCTCCTGAGGACCAGTGACCTGACACTTCACTCACGTGCCCCAACTACAGACACAGGCAGAGGCTTCACAGAGCTTTGGCGGGCTTCACGGACATCCAGTAGAAGATGGCGTCTGTCAGGAAGGTGGGCAGGTAGCTCATGGGGAGGTACAAGAGCTTGGCATCCCAGCCAGCTGAGTATCGAGTGCGAGGGTGACAGGAAGTCAGCGCGTGCTCCATGCAGTCTGTCACCAAGGAGAGGTCCTCACTGCAGATCTGGTCCAATAAGTTTAGATTTGTCAGATCTATGCAGAATGAGAAACACTTCAGGCGGTGTTTACCTCCACCACTCCTGCTCTAGACCAACATGGAGGAACCTTTTCTAGATCCCATGCCTCCCACATCAGAAACCACGCCCAAGCCTAGCCTATGCCAGGTCCTGAGGAGGGACCACAACCCAGCTTCACGAAGAACCATGCACCTCACCACCTGTGTGGTAGAATATTATTTTAAGTTGTATGACTTTTGTTTATGCTGCATTTGTTTAGCACTGTGAAACTGTGATTCTTTGCCTGTCTAAAATACAATAGCGAGGCAGGAACAAGGATAGGTGGGGGCTGGCAGGCAGAGAGGATAAATAGGAGAACTAAGGAGAGAGGAGAGCAGGAGGACAGGAGGACTCCAGGGGCCAGCCACCCAGCTACACAGCAAGACACAGAGTAAGAAGAAAAGAAAGGTATACTAGAATAGAAAAGCCCAGAGGCAAAAGATAGATGGGTTAACTTATGTTAAGAAAAGCTGGCAAGAAACTCGTCAAGGTAAGGCCAAGCGTTCATAAGTAAGAATAAAACATGTGTGATTTATTTGGGAGTTGGGTGGTGGGCCCCTCAGAAAGTATCCAAAGTGCCAAAAGAGTAAAAACCCAACAACACACCTGGGTCTCTGTTTAGAGATCTTTGTGGTGTAGATGGGTTCTAATTGGTCTAAATAATAAAAACCTGGAGTCGGATATAGAGGAAAATGCTGAGAGATCAGAGAGAAGGACCAAGCCAAAGCCACCTTTATCCCATTAGCTTCCCAGCAGAAAAGAGAGTGAGTTCCTGTTTCTTCCTCGCTTATATCCTCTCTGCACCCAGCCATGTTACTTCCTGTTTCTACCCAGCTACCTCACTTCCTGTCTGTCTGCACAGACCTCCAGACCTCTATGGTTAGCTGGTGGCAAGCTCCATTCTGTTCTTCAGACAAGCTTTATTTGTGCAAGCGAGATATCACCACACTCTGGTCTCTGCAACAGTGGGAACTAGCCCGAGCTCATGGAAAATCACTGTTATCTGACAGAGGCTCCACTTCAAGTCATGTTAACAAGAGATTCGAATAACACCACCCTGTGTTCTAGAAGCCAGGACCTCTTTATGTGGTGAGATGCCCACCTAGCACCAAGGAAACAGAATTTTAAGAAACTCATTTTGCAGAGAAACACCTTGGGGTAACTTCTGTCAGCATCAACAGGAGACACACAATTCTAGACCCAACTTTGCTCTGATCCCCAAAACCCACTCACAGGATAACAGAAACTTCTCGCCATAGAGGTCTCTGACCTCTGAGCTGGGCCGGTCCCACAGCATCTTGACAGCTGGCAATAGCCTGTCACTACTGGTCACACCAGTCTTGAAGCCTCCAGGCTCTATAATAGCCACCTTCACCCCAAAATAGGAGAGCTCCCTCCTGCAAGACAGACAGACGTCAATAGAGGCCTTTCTGAGAGAAAACTCACAATGAGAGTACAGTCACACGCCAACATGAGCCTGTGGTGAGGAGAGGGCACGAGCTTTGGATCTGGATTGTGCAGCAGACGGGGAAGAAGCCTGTGGCAAGGGCATTGCCTCTGTGCTTTTGAATGTCACAGATTGGCATATGCATCCCACCTAAAGATAGACTCGAGATAAGACCTCTCTACTCACTCCAGGTATAAGATAGACTCTAATGAAGACCTCTCTGCACACTCCAGGTATAAGATAGACTCTAAGGAAGACCTCTCTGCACACTCCAGGTATAAGATAGACTCTAATGAAGACCTCTCTGCACACTCCATGTATAAGATAGACTCTAAGGAAGACCTCTCTGCACACTCCAGGTATAAGATAGACTCTAGGGAAGACCTCTCTACACACTCCAGGTATAAGACAGACTCTAATGAAGACCTCTCTGCACACTCCAGGTATAAGATAGACTCTAAGGAAGACTTTTCTATACACTCCAGGTATAAGATAGACTCTAATGAAGACCTCTCTGCACACTCCAGGTATTAAGGGTCACCCTTGCCCAAGTCCCTCCTCCTCACTCTTAGGTTTGCACCTTCCCCAAGCCTGTCCCAGGGAGCTCTCAGGCCAGCTCCCCTAGGGCTCCTGCAGTGTCTTCCTAGGGCCACTCTCTGTCTGCTTCTGTATTGCCTCACATTTATCACCACCCAGTTCCCTGCAGCCAACAGGTTAATGGCACAAATGGCTCCCCTGACTCAGCCTCTTCAGATTTGCCTTGTGAAGATCATAAAGTACGCTCTTGTCTGTGGCACTCAGGCTACTTGCATGTACTGGCCTCCTGCCTGTAACATGTGACTTATCCTTTTGTCCGGTAGCAGCAGCCAGCAGCACGTTCCATCAGTCAGTGGCCACACAGAGCCCCAGACAGACAGATTTTCCCACCAGCCTTCCTAATCAGGTTTCTAGGTTCCCACTTGGACCCTTGCCATAGGACCCTAAATCTGATAACTGCTCTGGTCACTACTGAGGACCTGGGGATAGCCACTCCAAGGATGGCCACAATCTCTCCCTCTCCTCTCGAATTTCTCAGTTGCCAGAGTTTTTAAGGTCTTTGGGAAGAGCTTTCTTGTGATTCTAGAGTAAGTAGTCTGTAGACTCTAACAAGAGTCTAGAAACTTCTATATGAGCTGAGTGAGATGCTCAGTCCACATCAAGGACATCCTCAAGATGAACATCACTAAAGGTCAAGGGTCTGGACTCTTCCCACATACCTAGCTTTGTGTCCTTCGTCCACCCTCCTCCAGAGTAAGACACCAACTTTTTTATGTGCATTGGTGTTTTGCCTGCATGTATGTCTGTGTGAGGGTGTCAGATCTTGGAGTGACAGACAGTTGGTTAGCTGCCATGTGGGTGCTGGGAACTGAACCTA